TCCACCCGCTGCGGGTCAGTTTCAGCAGCGGCTGAATCAGGATGCTGGGGCAGAGCAGATGGGGTGCTGCTGGGTTGGTCCAGTAGCACCCCAGCTGCTCTGCCCCAGGCGTCCCCAAGTCAGCTTCTGCTGAAACTGACCAGTGCTGACTACAGGAAGCCCCAGGCAGAGTTGCTCTGCCCCGGGCTTCCTGGAATCAGCTGCTGATCAGTTTCAGCAGCAGCTGACTTGGGGACGCCTGGGGTTCTTAAGTTGATTCTGTATGTAAGTCAGAACTGGCGGTCAGTTTCAGCAGTGTCTGAATCTGGACGCCAGTTCCGACTTACATACAGATTCAACTTAAGAACAAACCTACAGTCCCTATCTTGTACGTAACCCGGGGACTGCCTGTACATGACTCTAGTAGACAAGGTCTTATGTATAGCCTATATTCCCTTGTCATAATCTGGTCTTGGACTCATGAATTCTGGGTCTTCAAACAGCAGTGAAGGAACAGGAAGGTCTGTGCTCATTTTGTGAAGCTACTACTTTGTGGGTTCTAGCGCACCTCATTTTGGTAAACTCTAGAATTAAAATGCTTTGGAAACAGATGTGTGATTCTAACATCAGTAGTCAGACCATAATCCTCCAAATTGCATTCACTGCTGTTCAAATATATTTCTTCATTCTAAAATATACTTAAGCAAAACCAAAGAAATGAAATGTAATGAAAATAAAAAGGAAACATTTAAAGCGGTTGAGTAGGTATTAAAATACTAAGCTTATTCTTGGACTGTATCACGTTTCCTTCATTAACCTACCTTTTAGCATCAGTGTTTATTGGCAACAGTCCATGTCCCAGATATTTTCCATCATTTTTTGTTGTATGTATAAAAAATTGTCTCAGCATGTAATACCACTGACTGTTATCCAATCTGTTATAACAGGAGAGAGAGCAAACACAGATTAGCAGAAAGGCTTCAAATGCACGCCTCAACCAACAGTTTATAAAACTGAAGAGAAAATGTGTAGCAGGCTTCTTCTAGGTACCTTAATTAAGATAGCTTGTAAGCATATTTTTAAAATCACTTTAATTTAAGATGTTTTTTTGGCGGGGGGGAAGAATTTGATGTGCCACTTGTAATGTTGAAAAACATATAAAACAAGCATATTCATAGTTTATTTAATCTGGGACTAAAGTAGGGTTACCAGATAGCAAGTATGAAAAATTGTGATGTGTTTGAGGGGGTATGAGGTCCCTATCTAATACAAAGCTCCGAATATTGGGATTGTCTCTCTAAAATCAGGACTTTGGATCACTGTATGTTCCAGTGGAAAGATAAGCCAAAATATAGAAGTAAATTGATGGCATTTTGTGGTGTTTTTTTTTTTTTTACTTTTACCTTTTCTACTACTAACTGTAATGCAGTGCTTAACCCCCCCCTCCCCCACCTTTCTGACCTATCTTTCATTTAGCTTCTAAATACATAGAGGAAAAATGCATTTCAGAAAGCTTATATGTATGTTTTCATTGCTATGGAAACAGATTCTATTAACTGTGCATGTCCCTAATAGCAGCCGTTCACCTTAATGTGGATAGACTATTATGAGCGACACAGAAACCAAACTGGAAACTGATGGTAGGAAGTGCACAAAAGCCATCCATACAATAAGAACATATGCCTGCATACCCAGTGGAAATAAGTTGCAGGGCAACCATGAACCAGGTCCTTCTGCATACTTCCTCTGCTGTGCTTCTAACCCCTTTATAGTGTAAGAAGGGAGAAGCCACATTTGGAATTTGAATCTAACATCATATGGCATAATGATGAGCATGTGTACATAAACTCTTATATTGAAACATTAAAAACACATCTATACCCTCAAGCACTTAAATATTGAAAATGCCTCTGGTAAATGTGTTTTGTATATGGGATGGTTTATAAACATATTTTAAATATTCTGCTTTTCTCTCATAGCACTATAGTTTTGTTTCTCTGCTGTTTATCCACTCTTGCTTCTCCATGTCTCTTTCATCTCACACTTTACCTCTCTTCTCAAATCTTCTTTTCCAAATTGCGCTCTCATTCAATTTCATTCCCTTTCACTTATTCTTGTCTGATTTTGATGCTTTTTAGAGGCAGTGCTTACTAAGCAAATTAGGAGGGCTGTTTTTTCCCTTTAGTACATACAGCAGGATCAGGTCCAAACACAGTTCAAACTGGTTTCTATCAAAAAGCTACAGAGATACTGTTTGAGACAAAGAAGAGTAAAGAAAAAGCAGAGCCAACAAAAGGAGCAGCCAAGTGCTAATATATTCCACTATTCCCGAGTGATTCTGTTGATTAATCCTGACCTTGAATTCCAACAGCATCATAAAACAAAAATAAAAAACCCCACACACCTCTACAGTACCTACTGGCTTTAGGCACATTGCTGAAGATATTTCATTCTCTAATTTCTAGTGGGAGGGGGGGGGGGGGGGGGGATTGGTCCTGTTGTGACACTGGAAAGTGTCCTGAAGAATAACTCTCATTAGTGATAGGCTGCTTGTTGATCACCTCACTTTAACCAAGGAAAGTCTAAGTAAACCATAATGCTTGGATGACAGAAATGCATTTAAAACTTAAACTTTTGCCTTTCAAAAGGACCTGCATCTACCTGCCAAGAAATCCTTTGAAAATGAAGTTCAGTTGTTTCACCACTGAGATAATGGTCTTGTCAATAGTCCTGCCATGCTTCATCTATGAATATCTAAGCTGTAGATAGTTCATCGGAAACTAGTGCATTGGACATAAAGGAAGACAAGTGTTACATAATGATGAACATCAAGATTTACAACTTTTACTTAAAGCATGAAGCTTTTACAAGTGTGTGTGTGTGTGTGTGTGTGTGCATTCATCTTAATGAAAAGCGTATACAATGTATACAATACTTTGGAGAAGAACTGGATTCTGTATTTAAAAAATCAGAACAAAGCACTGAATTATATTAACCAGCAAGGCAAAAAGAATTCAGGCACAATTAGCTAACTTTCATTTGTGTTAGCTGTTTTTATAAGTCCCCAAAAGATGTCAGAGCTAGAAATCTGATAGTTTTTCAATGGAAATAAATAATTTGCAAGCTGCTTTAGATTTTTTTGTCTATTTATTTCTCTGATTGTGTAAGATCAAGTACTGATAAGTGTTTACTTAGTCCTGATTTCTGTGATACTTCATGGCTGTGTCTACATTGGCATCCCTTTCCGGAAAAGGGATGCTAATGATACACATCGCAATTGCAAATCCACGGGGGATTTAAATATCCCCCACGGCATTTGCATTTCCATGGTTGCCACTTTTTTCTGGCTCAGGGTTTTGCTGGAGAAAAACGCCAGTCTAGATGCGATTTTCCAGAAAATAAGCCCTTTTCCGGAAGATCCCTTATTCCTACTTTCAAGTAGGAATAAGAAATCCTCCGGAAAAGGCTTTATCTTCCGGAGAATCACGTCTAGACTGGCGCTTTTCTCCGGCTCATCCCCAAGCCGGAAAAAAGCGGCAGCCATGGAAATGGAAATGCAAATGCCACGGGGGATATTTAAATCCCCTGTGGATTTGCAATTGCGATGTGTCTCATTAGCATCCCTTTTCCGGAAAGGGATGCCAATGTAGACACAGCCCATATGTCTGACACTCTTTTATCAAAATCTCCTAACCTGGCTTTATTTCTTCCCCTCCAATTAGAAAGTTATGCTTTTCCAAAGGAAGAATTAACCTTTTGAAGTTCAGGTGTGGGATGTAAAAAGAGAGTTTGATAAACATGAACCCACATTCAGATTTGTCCCTATGGACTGAATGGGGGCTGAATGAGGGCTATTATAACCAACTGATAATAATATGGTAAATCAGATTCACAAAAAGATATGAACAGATAGCTACAACTTCTTTGTATTACATGGAGGTGAATATGCAGGCATTTTCATCCATCTAAATTTGAAGGCCACCTTATCTGATTATACAGAACATAGCACATCAAAGGCAATTGGGATCAGACTACTCAAATAAAATTAAAAAAATATTTTTTTCTTTTACCCCTTACTTGAAGAGAAATATAACTATTAGGATTTAAGAGTGCATGAATCTACAAGATGGTTCCAAATAAACATTAGATCATATCTAGCCCTATTGTAACTCTTTGGGTCACAGGAGCAGTAATTTCCAGTCAGCTGAAACTTGAGGCAACATGGAACATCTATCTACAGAGCCTCAAAATGAGGATGAGACTACTAAATTTTAGAGGAATAATATTAAGTGCTAGCTATAAAGAAATCAGTATTTTAAATGTTTTGGTTCTATCTGCTGATGTTTAGGTATGTGCTAATGTTTTTGAGGTTGACTCTCAAATCAGACCTCCAGTTTCATAGGTGTGATTTTGTATTCCCAAGCAATTCATTGTGTGTGCAAGTATCAGGAAAAAGCAAGAATAAGTCACAATGACATGATTGTGGGGGCACTGCTCCACCGAAAAATGAGACCTACTTTGCAGACAGCATTTCTTCTCTTCTTGTTTTGAAGCATTTACAATTTATACCAGTGAAGGGCAACCTGCAGCCTGTGTGGGATCTGTATGTGGCCCATGACACAGGGTTGCCAGACTCCACTAATTTCTTCCTACTGTATTACAAAAGTGATATGTATGTAAAACAAAGGCACATGACGTGAGGTATGTGCTAATTGCACACAGCACTGACTGTAAGGGCCATGTGCGTCCTCTGCATCTAAAGGACTGCTATGATTTAATCAACACACCCTACAAATTCTAGGGACACAAGCATAATTACAAAAATCACCCTCTCCAAGGAGATCGTCTTGGTCATGACAATACGGCAGCCCATTGAGCTGAAGGCCCACTTACTTGTCTAGGTTTCTCATCCCTGATCTACACACTCCTCTGGTTGATTAGCTTGTGCTTTCTGAGTGCCCTGACACTTATCCTCCATCTGTTAAATAAGAAAGAGACTTTGTCCTAGATACAGGACTTTGGGACATTTCATGTTTTCAAGCTTTAAATTGAGCATTATTGTATTTGAGAACATATACTTCTGCATATTCCATAAAAGGCAACAAAAATGATTAAACAATAAAGAAGGAAATATTACTGCAAAATTAAAGTTGGTCAAGAAAATGAGTCCATTAGCAGAGTATAAACAAAACAAGTCAGAGATGGATGGACCATAAGCATGGCTCTAGGTCACAATGAATACAAAAGTGCCTATTTTTCCAATCCTAGCAAAGAGTAAAAAATGGTGTTATGTCCATGAAAGTGAATGCAGAATTATGATTATTATTTCAGAGGATTATGTTCCCGGTGTGTGCTTATTATGATATACATTTTAAAGATGAAATTAGAATAGATTGTCTCCTTAGGAGAGGATGCTTTGTTCTTTGCTGCCAAGGAGACAATATGTATTTTCATTCCACTGCTAAAGGTAAGAATATGACATATAAAATGGCAGAAGTAATTAGATAAACAACTCATGCCAGTGGATCTGTTGGATGCTAATTAAAACCAAGAACTACTGTAATGGTGACGGAACTAAGTCACAGTAGTGGTATTAACTCTCCCCATTATACCTCAACATCTGGTTTTATTTTTTTTCTAGTAAAGTTATGAGCATATAATAGCACAGAATGGATCAACCCAAAAACCTGGATGTGAAAGTTTGGATTCAAATTTCAACTCTGCAGCTCAGGCCCATTTCTGATTACAAGGTGATTTGTCTGTATGTCCATATGATAAAATCTGTAATAAACAGCAAAGAAGTTACATACTTAGGCCAGGTCTACACTGAGAGAGAAATTAAATTTAAGATATGCAAGTCCATCTATAAGAATAGTGAAGTTGGGGTCAGTACCTTAAATCGCATTTCTGTGGCGGCACCACTACAGGAGAACAATGGGAAACTCTCCTGTTGACTTCCCTTACTCCTTAAATTATTCCTTAAGCTGCAAAGTGACGATGAATAGTCAGACACTGAGCTTGCCACATGTATACCTATGACACAATATTTCTTGTCATATTCATGGAAGTGCTAACCACATTTTTGGGCTCATGAAATTAGCTCTGAGTGGTGGGATAACATCATCATGCAAGTCTTGGATGATGAGCAATGGCTATAGAACTTTTAGATGAGGACAACCACTTACATGGGGCTGCGTGATGAGCTTGTCTCCACCCTTTGGTGCCAGGACATGAGCCTGAGAGCTGCCATGCTGGTGGAGAAGTGAATGGTGATTACACTGTGAGGGAGTGGGAAAGTCAGCCATTGGACTCATGTTGATGGAAGTATACATGGCCATTAATCACATCCTGCTCCGAAAGATTGTGACTCTAGGCAATGTGTGTGAAATTTTGATGGCTTTGCACAGATGGGCTTCCTTAACTGTGGAGGGGTGACAGATGGCACGCATATTCCAATTCTGGCACCAGACCACCTAGCCTCTGAGTACATTAATCAGAATGGTTATTCTGGCACTTGTGGATCACTATGGATGTTTCACAGACATTAACACAGACTAGTCCAGAAAGGTACATGATACACACATCTTTCAGAATACTGGCCTGTTTACAAAAGTACAAGCAGGGACTTTCTTCTTGCACCAGAAGATCACTGGTGTAAGGGAACTCAAAATGCCCATTTTGATCCTAGCAAACCCTGCTTAACCTTTAATGCCATGGGTCATGAAGCAATTGCTTGAGAGCCTTGACAGCAGCAAGGAGTGGTTCAACTGGATGAACAGATGCAGAATGATTGTGGAATGTGCTTTTGGCCATTTAGAAGCCTGCTGGTGATGTTTTGGAAGCTAGAGCTGCCCAATGACAATACCCCTATGTGTATAGCCAGGCACTTCATAATATTTGTGAAGGGAAGGGTTAAAGCTTCACTCAGGGCTGGACTGCTGAGGCTCCAGTGCTCGGAGGCTGAGTTTGAACAACCTGAGACAAAGGCTATTAAAGAGGCTGCAATGCTAGTGTGCCACTGTTATTAGACTGTATGATACACTTAGTACAAAAGCACTGCTTGCTTTGCTGTGATGTATTTGTTTCCTTTCATGTAATGGAATAAGGTTTGCTTTCAAACCCAATAATTTCATTTATTAAAAACAGCAAATATAGAACATGTGACACATCTGCAGTTTGTGGAAAGGTAAGGAGGAGGGTAGGAGGAGATGAAGCCCTAGTACCTTTATAGCTTTGTGTATGGCCCTGTATCATGTGCTGCCTTGCAGCCTGATGTGCTGTGCAATGGGTGCACTTTCAAAGAAAGGCGTTTTCCGAGGTTTTCTGCGGTTGAAAAAAGTCATGTTCTTTTGATTTACTTTCGAAAGAACGTGGCAGCGGTCTAGACGCAGGGGAAGATTTTTTCCAAAAAAGGCCACTTAAAGAAAAAAAAAAACCTGTAGTCCTGACACACCCTGAGTAAACAGGAAGGGATATTCAAAATTCCAAAGGAATGTAAAGAGCAGGTCTAAGCATTGGTCTCCCGAGGAGAGGGCAATAAAATTTAAACCAATGACAACAGAGGTGAGAACAGACATTGTGGGACAGGTACCAGAGGCCTGTCACAGTGCTGTATTACTTCATGGCATCCACATAGGTACACCAGTACTATAATTAGAATGCAGAAAACTGCCTCTCTTACTGAGAGCGTAGCAGCTATGGACTTAGTGTGCACTAAG